CCCGTCCTCTTGACAGGTAAATAACTGGGAGTAGTTAAAAAATAAGGATTTACATTGGTGTGAAGCCTTATCAGTGACCCAAGGTTCTCCCCATCGTGTAGGGGGTGATAGTACATGGATTTTCCTTACTCCCTATACTTTCCTTAAACAGGAATAACACCAGTCCTCCCAAGAGTCCAGTATGAACCATTGCCATGATCTCACCCGGCCCTGCCTGTTAGGATTGGGGAACTTTCTCCCTTCTCTTTCCTCCCACTTTCTATCATTTTAATAGCTCCTGAGGAATGTTTTGTAGGAGAGTAGGTTTGAAACCCCCAGGGTTTTCCTTGGAGAAAAATAGATTATTAGAACTCTATTGAACCTTTTGAACTTAACTATCATACTAACATTTAATTCTTATAACTCTTCAGCTTGTAACCTTGAACAGTTTAAAAGAGATGGAGGAACCCATTCTCTATATTCAAGATAATATATGAAATCTTTACACCAAACAGTTAACAAAATGTTCACTCTAATCTCTAATCCAATAATAGCATAATATACTCCAAAACAAATGAAGGCTACAACACAAACTAAAAATTCTACATTCATAAGTCAACAACAAAAACAATAAATAATGATGACTTGAATAAAAACTATAACAATTTTCATCTATTAGTCTCTTGTACTTTTATCAGTCTTTCTAAGCAACCTTTGGTCTCTTTCTAAAGGTAACTTTGAGATTGTCCGAGTTCAGGATTGCAACCCACGTGGAACCGTCTGTAGCTGGTGCTGTTGGATCCAGTCTGCTGTTTGGGGGGGTTGTACCGGTCCTTTGACTGGAGTGATGTGAGTCCAGCCTCTTTCTCGTGTCCTTCCTGAGTGTGCATCATGAGTAATACCTGGAAGGATCCTTCAAATTTTGGAGTTAATGGCGTATTGCTCCATGACTTCATTAGTACCCAATCTCCCGGACTTATTTGGTGCACATCTGTATCAAGGGGGGAAGTTTGGGGAAGATACCCTCTTTTTCTCAGACTCTCTAGGGTCTTTCCAATGGTTTCTATTTACTTTCAGGTAGCGGTTTCCCCTTCTAATTAGTCCCCACTACTATATGGAGTCATTAAAAATGGGAGTGCAAACATCATTTCATGGGGCGGAAACCCTATATCTGATCAGGGTCCTGTCCTGATCCTTAAAAGGGCAAGGGGTAGGCATTTGAGCCAGTTCATCTACATTTCTGCAATTAATTTTGTTAATATATTTGTGAGGGTTTTATTCATTCTTTCTACTCTCCCAGAGCTCTGGGGATGCCATGGGATATGTAATCTCCGTTTTATTCCTAAAGCCTCAATTATTTTATGTAATACTTGTGCGATAAAGTGTGGTCCCCTATCTGAATCAATATTGTTCATCAACCCGTATTGGCGATTGATCTTAGAATTCTAAGATAATCTTGGCTACTATTTCCGCTTTCCGGTCCCTTTTCTAGTTGGAAAGGCTTCTACCCAATGAGTGAGGTGGTCAACTATTACCAATAAGTGTTTGCAACTCTGTACAGGGGGCATTTCAGTAAAGTCTGAGTGTTTTGGAATAGTCTTTGGGCTAGTTCTCTTCCCCCTCGTATGGTCTGCCTCATCACTTTTTGATTTAGTTTTTGGCAAATTAAGCACCCCTCAGTTACTGCTTTTGCTGCCTCATGTATTCCGATACATAAGTTTTCTCTTAAATAGTGATCACATAACCCTTGGACTCCCCAAATTGGTTAATTCCTGTATCTCTGTTAACATTTTCTGGGCTAGGGCTTTATTTAAAAGTTTACGCCCATCTGGTGTCAACCACTCCCCTTGGTTCCCCCGATGCATTTTTAATTCTTTTATTGCTTTTAGTTCTTTCTCACTGAATACTAGTTTTCCTTTCCTTTCTTCACCTAACACTTTGTTTAACCTGAGTCATTTCACTGGCTCCCCTGAGTCTAATGCTGCCTCCTTAGCCACTTGGTCAGCTAAGTGATTCCCGTTTTCCTCGATGGTATCCCCTTTCTGATGTCCCTTAACATGTACCACTGCGATCTCTGCAGGTTTAGGTAGAGATTCTAATATTGATCTTATCAGTTCAGTGTGCACTAAGTTTTTTTCCTTTGGAGTTCAGATACCCACGTTCCTCCCAAATCTTTCCAAATGTATGAACGATCCCAAAGGCATACCATGAGTCAGTGTAAATTGTCCCTTGGCCCCCTTCCAGTAAGTCAAGTCCCCTCTTTAAGGCATAGATTTCACAACACTGAGCTGATCAATTAGAAGGCAGTTTGCCCTTCTCGGTAAATCTCATGTCTTCCTTTTCTGCAGTTTCAATTATTGCGTATCCAGACATCCTTTTTCCTTCCACTACTCTCGAAGACCCATAAGTAAATAATTTTATTCCATAAGGTAGAGGTATCTTTTCTAGATCTTCCCTAACTTTTGTCTGAAAGTCCACTAGTTCCAAGCAGTTATGCTCTAGTTCTAATAATGGCTCTCCAGAGAGAAACTGCCCTGGATTTAGAGTTTTAGAGGTTACCAGCTCTAGGTTATCAGTATCTATTAAGATTATTTCATATTTTAATACTCTGGAGTCAGGAAGCCACTTCTGGGTTCTTTGGCCTTAATATTGTTTTTAGATCATGTGGTGTATGGATTCTTATTTTACATCGCAGGGTCAGTTTTTGAGTCTCTTCAATTAAGGTGGTTGCTACAGCAACTGCTTGAATACAGGTGGGCCACCTCCTAGCTACCGGGTCTAGCAGTTTGGAGATGTAAGCTATTGGTTTCTTACACCCTCCCCACTCTTGGGCTACCACCCCATATGCAATTCCTTTTTCAGTATTTACAAATAGGTCAAATTCTTTTTCCAGATTGGGCAAACTTAGGACAGGTGCTGAGGTTTGTTTGTCTTTCAAATTATTTCGGTTTTTTTCATCCTCATTTCTCCATTCTATTGGGTCAGCGTTTACTAATTTGTCATATAAAAATTTTACACTTTGGGTATATTGGTCTAACCATAACTTACAGTACCCAAATAAGCCTAATAGTTTTCTGTCATCTCTCTTAGTTTTTGGTGCTGGTATGGATAGTATGCCTGAAATTCTTTCAGGGCTTAATTTTTTATATCCTTTCCCAATTATGTGTCCCAGATTAGTAACTTCCGCTTCCACAAATGGCAATTTATTCTGAGATACTTTTAAACCCTTTGCTCTTAGGAAATTTAAAAGGTGTATACTTGTTACCCTGACATTATTCCGTTCCTCTCCAGATATTAATAAGTCATCTACATATTGTAGAATTTGTACTTTGCTCTCAGGGTTGAATTGTTCTAAAAGCCCTTCTAAGGCCTGCCCGGAGAGATCTGGGGACTCGGTAAATCCTTGGGGTAGGCACGTCCACCTTAATTGTTGTTTCCTCCTCTTCTCTGGATGTTCCCACTCAAACACGAAACAATCCCTACATTCCTCAGCAAGAGGACATGCCCAAAATGCATCTTTTAAATCTATAATAGTAAACGAGGCATGCTCCCTTGGGATCTGACTGAAGAGGGTGTAGGGATTTGGGACCACTGGATGCCTGGTTATAGTTCTCTTATTTTTCTTCCTTAAGTTTTGGACAAATTGGCATTTTCCACCTGCCTTCTTGATTGCTAAAATAGGGGTGTTGTGGGGAGACATACACGGCTCCAGGGTACCTTCCTCTAATAGCTGCTCAATCACAGCGGTCAGTCCCTTTTTTCCCTCAGTAGACCTTGGGTATTGCTTTACTTGAACGGGAGGAATTCCTTTTTGCATTTCAATTCTTATTGGTGGGATGTCTAGATAGCCCCTCTTTCCTTCTCCTGCCCAAACCTCTGGGTTTATCTGCTCTGTATCTCCTGATGTCAATTTCATGATCTGGACTATCATTCTCCCATCCTTTGGGATAATCCCCACTCCTAATGAGACTTGTAGGTCCCTTCCTAGTAAATTACTTTCTAGATTAGGTAAATAGATAAAGTCAGCCACACACTGCCTTCCATTTCCTTTAATTTCCACGTTTTCAGCTATGGAGGCTCTAAATGGTTTTCCCTCTGCTCCCATCACCTCACAGACCTTCCTCCCAGTCGTCACTCCTGCAGGTAATTCCATTATACTTGATCTATCTGCTCCAGTATCAACTAAAAATTCAAATTCCTCACTTTGGGGACCGACTTCAAAGTTTACCAGAGGCTCTTCTTGATGGTACATTGGGTCCCCTAGCATGTAAAGCCCCTGACACCCCTTGTTGTCATCCCTCAGGAGTCTCTCAAGAGCCTCTTGTTCTTTTACCATTGCCTCATCCAAAGAGAGTTTATTGCAATCCCTTCTTATGTGTCCTATCTCTCCACAATAATAACGTTTCCTGTCGCTCAGTGGTGCCCCTGGTCTCTTGTTTGTATCCACCCATGGAGGTAGTATAGGTTTATCTTTGGGTGTTTCAAAGGAGGACTTTTGTCCATTTTCACTTATTCTCGATGGTTGTCCCTGCTGATCTCTGGTTACCCCTATCATTTCCCTGGCTACAGCTACCATGATTCTAGCTTTAGCTTTAGTTTTCTCTTCTTCTCTCCTTAAATATATCCTTAAAGCTTCCTTTAACAGTTCATTTATTCCCTTCTCCTGCCAGTCATCCATTTTCTCTAACTTTCTCCGTATGTCCAGCCACGATTTTGTAACCAATTGCACTTTTAGAAGTACTTAGCCTTAAGAGCTATCAGGATCTATATTGGAATAGAATTGGAAGTTCCTCTTTAATCTCTTAAGCCAAGTAGCTGGGGTTTCATCCTTTTCTTGCATGTTATCAAAAGCTAGTTTTGTGTTATTACTTCAGGGAACTGATTTCTTTATTCCTCTAACCATCAGGGACCTATAGTCTTCCATGTTCCTTCTATCTTTCTCTTCATTAGGGTCCCACTCAGGGTCCTGTAAGGGTAATTTCTGGTCACTGGGATCTTCTGAACGATTTTCGCACTCTCAGATCCGCATTCCTGCGGCCCTGATCATCCTCACTTCCTCAGCGCTGAACAAAATTTTTAAAATAGAGTTCAGCTCTCCCCAGGTGTAAATGTTAAGGCGTAGAAATAGATTTACTTGGTTCGATATACCTACCGGATTCTCCACTAACTTCCCTAACTCCTTTTCAAAGCCTCGAATTTCAGTGGCTGTTAATGGGGCATTCACAAACCCAAGTCCCCCACGTATCCCACCCAAGGGGACTTCTCTAAGAGGAAAAAACTTCTCCACTTTATAAGTATTTGATCTTGTATTACAGTAAGGTCCCTCCGTGAGGTTACACTTATGGGAAGAAACAGGAGGAGTGGGGCCAGTTGACCTCTACTAACTGGGTTAGAGATGGAGGTGCTCACCTCCCAGTTAGGAGGGAGTAATGGTATAGCAGTAGGTAAGGGGAAAGAGACTGAACCCGTAGGAAGGGACACTGGAGGTGGGGCTGGAGAGACAGTTGAAGAGGCTGAGGGGGAGACTGGAGAAATAACTGGATTAGAGGGAGATGGGACAGTAGTGTTTGGAGCAGGTAAGAGAGTTGAGGTTAGGGTAGGAGTAATAACCATAGGAGTGTTAATCGGAGGTGGTAATGGGATCGGAGCGGCTGCTGATTCTGGGGATGGAGAGGCCAGATGTAAAATTGGGGGATCTGGGAGAGAAGCCTGGGGCCTTGCCAGGTAAATAGAGGGGGAATAGAGGAGGAGGTAAGTAATCAAGGGGGTCCCACTTAACACTAACCTCTTCTCTCCCCTCGTTATTTTCCTTCCGTTTTTGTAGTTTACAGATTTTTATAACATCGCTGGTGGTATCCCTCTGCCAACATGCAGCATATGTTAACTGCTCAAGATTGGGACTTTCTTGGGTTTTCAGGTGTTGGTTTAATTGGGAACACATCCATGGATCTCTTGTCCCATACCATGGCCACTCCCCCTGCAGGTTTAACTTAGGCCAGACTTCGATACAATAGTGAATCGTTTTCATTTCGTCTAAGGTTTTCGTGGCCTCCTGAATTTTGGGAATTCTGTCCATCCCTGCCCCAAAGACCAAAAGAGATGTTAGAAAATTATTAGGTTTGTTTGAGTATTGCAGATTATGGTTTGATCAGTATTAAATCACTAAAAGCGTTAGTCATTTAGTCATTAAATTACTAAAAGCGTTAGTCATGACAAATTGATAGACTCAGAGCCTGTAACCTGGACCTCAAATGACGAGGAACAGCTTTAGAATCTGAAAACTAAATTCTCCTCTGCCCCTCTACTGAGCCTACTAGACCTTTAAAAGATTTTTGACCTATTTGTAAATGTGGAAGAGGGGATAGCTTGCGGAGTCCTTACACAGGACTAGGGAGGATGCAGGAAGCTGGTCACATCTCTCTCCAAGTTACCAGATCCAGTAGCCAGAGGGTGGCCAGCCTGTGTGCAAGTGAGAGACGCAACAGCCACCCCAATAGAAGACACACAGAAACTAACCTGAAAGGGGAAGATCCGGGTTCATACCCCACACAATGTGAAAGGTGTTTTAAGTCACAAGGCCCCTCAGGGGCTAACTGACACCCAAATACTAAAGTATGAAGTCATCATAATAAGTACCAAGGGCCTCGAATAAGTCACTTTAAAATGTTTAAATCCAGCCCTGCTCCTCACGGGAGAGCCATTAAAAGACCTGGAACATGATTGTTTAGAAATTATTGAAATGCAGACTAAAGAGCGAGAATATTTAGAAGATAAGCCCCTCCCACATGGGAGAATTTTATTTACAGATGGATCATCACAAATGGTAGCCAGTAAACAGGTCTCAGGGTATGCAAGCATAGATGGGCAGAATCTGCAAGTTGAGGAAAAAGGAAAGCTACCCTCAAATTGGTGTGCCCAGTGCTGTGAAATCTGTACCCTGAAGAGAGGACTAGATTTATTAGAAAAAGATAAAGGAACAACCTATATCGACTCCTGGTACACATTTGGGATTGCCCATACATTCGAAAAATATGGGAAGAACAGGGGTACCTTAACTCTTAAGGCAAAAATATAATACATGAAGAGCTAAGAAAATTAGTACTAGAGTCACTAAGGAAACCAATAGAGATAGCCAAAGTTCACATAGAAGGACATCAAAAAGGGGACACCCTTGAAATAAAGGGAAACCAATTAGCTGATCAAGTAGTGAAAGAAGTAGCTTTGGAACAGGAAAGTCCAGTTAAAATTCTTAAGATAGAGAGAACACCTAGTAGAGAAAGAAAAGAGGAAAAACCCATCTTTGATGAGAAAGAATTAAGGGAGTTAGAAAAGATGAGATGATAGCAAAAAGAAAATGGAGAATGGTGGACCCCTGATGGACAGCAAATTTTAAATAAAGCTCCAGCCCGAAAGGTGATGACAGAGTTATACGAGTTGACCCATTGGGGAATACAAGGATTATGTGACCACTTTCCAAGGGATCATATGTGCATGGGAGTATGTAACATAGCAAAGGCAGTTACCAAGGGATGTTTAATTTGCCAACAAATTAATCAGAAAGTAATGAGAAGAGTACTGTCGGATCTGGGGGAAGAGAGTTGGCCTTGCAGCCGTTCCAAAGTGTGCAGGTAGACTTCACAGAAATGCCCCCTGTCCAGGGATACAGACACTTATTAGTTACCGTGGATCACCTCATCCATTGGGTAGAGGCGTTCCCGACCAAAAGAGAGACAGCCCAAGCAGCCACAAAAGCAATCCTAGAAAACATCATTCCCCGATATGGGTTGATAAATAATGTTGATTCTGACTGAGGTCCACATTTTACTGCCCAAGTCTTACAACAAGTTGTTGAAGCCCTGGGAATGAAATGGAGGTTGCACAGCCCATTGGCATCCCCAGAGCTCCAGAGGAGTACAAAGAAGGAATAAAACCATCAAAAACGGGTTAACTAAATTAGTTACAGAAACCCAGATGAATTGGCTTAATGTTTACCCTTAGTACTGTTACAAATTAGAACAAGGCCTCAATCAGGCATAAGAGTCTCACCTTGTGAAATGATGTTTGGACTCCCCTTCTTGATAACCTCATATAGCAATGGAATTTATCCAGAAGGAGAGACAGCCACCGAAAAATAGGTAAAGGCCATAGGAAGGAGATTCAAAGATCTTAGGAAAAAGGACTATGTCCTTCAAACCTCTCCCTTAGACACTAAGGGACATAACATCAATCCAGGGGACTGGGTGTTAGTTAAATCATGGAAATCTGGACCTTTAGCCTCTAAGTTTGAAGGTCCTTTTCAGGTCCCACTCACCACCAATACAGCCATATGACCCAAGAGAGGGGGTGGACACATATAACCCAGATTAAAGGACCTGGACCACCTCCCACTGAAGAGTCAAAAACAGCCACATCCCCTACTAAAGTCTTCTAATGAATTTATACGTTAAATTGGATTCTGAGATTACAAGTAGCACTCGAGATGGTATCGAACCGAACCTCTCTGGCTTTAGACCACATAAATGACCAACTATCCCAGGCTAGAACTGTGAGGTATCAAATCAGACTAGCAGTAGATTATTTTTTAGCCCATGAAGGAAGCACATGTGGAAAATTTAACTCCTCGAGTGCTGCTTAGAAATGGATGACTGCAGTGAAGTCATTGGAAATATCTCAAAGGAAATCCGGAAGTTAGTTTATGTTGGAACACAAGAGTGGACCCCTTCATTTGATACCAGCTGGTGGGACAATTTCTGGTCATTAAAAGGAAACTGGTGGAAAAAAATGGCCTTTTTCATCATATGTGAAATTATTAGTTTAATCCTCCTACCTTGCATGCTCCCCTGTATAATCTGAGTTGTAACATCTGCTGTACAAGCAAGTTTAATGATACCAAAAGAGCTTAATAAGAAAGAAGTAAAAGTAATCATGGTAATGAATGATCAAGAACATCCAGATGCCAAGGAAATGTACAACCAATATTAAAAATTGTACTTTCAAGAAGAAGGAATTGCTAATTGAAGCAGGCTTGAGCCCAATTGAACAATTAGAGGGGGAATTGAAGAGAATCGATTGTTAAAGGAGTTGATATAAAGTTCATTGTTAAAGGAGTTAATATAAAGTCGCAATGTTAGTCATAGATTGTTTGTTGAATGTTTAATAGTTATGTCAAGTTCCAATGCTAGTTAAAGGATTTATAATTATGTAAATCCCCTCACTGTCAGGTGTTCCCCCCACTGCTCCTGTCAGCATTCAGAAGCACATAATCACGAGAATGATTCCATGCAGGTGCTTTTATTGAAGAGCTCTGGGTGTCAGGGGTACAAACCCAAATCTGTCTCTGACTTGCATTCGGGATCAACATGTTTTTATATTGTATCATTGTATAACTTTCATGTTAATTATTAAACTTTTATTGTTCTGTTGTATACATAGATTTCAGCCAAGCATGGGCTCCTTGTGGTCCCTCTCAAACTTCTAACATAGTTTCTCATGATTCTTATGATTATACAATAATTATATTTAATTACTAAACAATCATCACATCTAACAGTTATGTCATTTATCATATACTTCTTAAGTGAATGCAATTTCACATGATCTGGCAAACAAAAGCCTAACATTTGCAGAGTCCATTTTAAACATTTTTCCAGGGCTCGACGAAGTCTAGCTTCTTTCTAATTCCCAGAATTTTATGATTTTAAAACCTTTCACTCCCACTCTCATCTAATCTAAGATGGTGAACCACCTGACATCATAAAGAAGAGGATTATGTCATAATAACCAAATCCCATAAAATCCCATAAGACCTAACAGAAAAGAATGACCTAAAAAAAACCCCTAGAACAACAAGGCACCATGCAAATGAAGAATTAAAATAACACCTCTAACCAGAGAAAACATAAGACAACATCAGGACCGTGGTCAGAGCTTTTTGCCTTCCTCACCCAAACCAGAGCAGGCCAGGAGCAGCACAGGGACCATGGACCTGAAACCAACAGTGCCTACCCAGAGACTCTTGAAAGGAGAGAAAACCCAGCTCTGCCAGGCCTTGCTCAGCATTGCCGTTCCCTGCTCAGAGCCTTGGGCTCCCTGCAATCCTGCCCTCAAG